ACATATGGTGAAAATATGGATTTGACCTTGAGTGATTTTCTCAATGGGTTAGGTCAATGTGACCGATGCTTTTTTAAACGGAATTCCCTATTTTTTATTGCATATTCTTATATTCTTAAATAATTAAAATAAGATAAACTTGAGCTCTCGAGATAACAAATAAGTATAATTATACTGCCAGGCGATTGAGAGCAGAATTGTGATACAGTTATTCGAGCGTTATATATAAAAATTGTATTTCATAGACCTTACCATGTATTTATACAATATCGAATATTTCGGCTCAGTTCGAATCATTCTCAACAATGTTTAAGTAACAAATTCACAAATGCAATTCGCAATTATTCAATCGTATTCAAATCCAAGAGTGCAGCATATTCGAATAGAATTGAATAATTGCGAATGTTGAATTTATTATTTGAACATCGTTGAGGATGGCTTGAACTGAGCCGAAACGTTCGATATTGTATAAATACATGGTAAGGTCTATGAAATACAATTTTTATATATAACGCTCGAATAACTGCATCACAATTCTGCTCTCAATCGCCTAGCAGTAATTTATAATTATACTTATCTTGTATTCTTATCTCGAAAGCTTTTCAACACTATAATAAAGAATAATCAAAATATTCTGACTCAAGAATTTTTTAAAAATAAAAATTGTCAGAAGAGAAATGCTACGAGTCAAAACTAGTTGTTAAGTGCTAATGATTAATCTATCTTTAATATCCAATCGATATAAACATTTCAACCTTCATCAGGATATCCTCAGTATCAAAATATAATAATTAAACTAATTGAAAATAAAAATAAATGTAAAAGCAATATCGATTATGTCATAGTTTATTATTTAAATATAAAATATTTATGTCATTAATATTAAAGGTATCTATAAATTCATGTTTTCTTTCAATGGAAGGATTAAGAATATATCGCACAAGGTCGCATAATTGAAGCTATTAAAATTAGATGTTACATATACATATATTAAAATTAGACGTTACATATACATACGTTCCAACTTCAGCGATATCATAAATTTTCTTGCGTATATTGTCGATGATAATAAAACTTTTTTCCCACTGCAATCGCTTAGAAGAATGTATAACAAAAATTCGTTGTCGTACTATAATAAAGCTAATTAAAAAAGTTCATTGTAGTGTTTTGAAAAGTTCTCAAAATAAATTATAAGAATATGCAATAAAAAATTGGAGGTTCCATTTAAAAAAACATTAGTC